CAGCAGCAATAATAATAATAATAATAATAATAATAATAATAATAATAATATCTGAAAAAGGCAGGGGCAAGCAACTCCTGAACTGTTGCCAAGAAAACTTATATTATTTGCAACTTATTTCCATTTTCAGCAGCTTGTGATGTTTTATATTGTATTTGTTTCTATTTGAGCCACCAAGAGTCACTTTGATTATGGCAGCATAGAAATATGTTAGCTAAATTAATAATATTCTATCTTCCAAAATTTCCCTGATATACCTCATAATATTTTACTGTTATAAAGCAAACAAATTACAAACCAATACCTTAACACGATAGCACGGAACTTTGACAAAAATCAGAATTCTAAACTGCCATTTTCTATTAAGTAACCTATGAATAATTGTCATGGGGCTGATTTTTGGTGGATATATATTAGTGAGATAGTCAATTTCAACATTACATTTTCTTTGCAACATTTTTCTGACCTGTAAAATCAGCTATATTTTGTTTGGTCAAAATAACTCTGTGGGCCCATTTCAAAAGGCCAACCCAGGAATCTTTCATTTATAAATGAATTACTTAAAATGAATGCTTAAAAGTCTGTGAGCCCATTTGAATGTTCAATATTTCTGCATAAATATGATCTAAAACATAAGAAGGTGCAAAAGGATTCACAAACTTTTAAACACCGCTGTAGGTGATTATCTCTACTATCATATGAATGAACATGTTTCATTTTGTTGGAACATTTAGGTTAGTTAAGAATGTCTATGACCTTTAATAGCACATACTTAGTGTACAGTTATTATTTATTAGGTTTATATTGTGTTTTTTGTACAGGAGTTCAAGGCTACGTCGTGTTTTGTTCTTTTATGTTCCCCTACAACAGCAACTCTGTGGGGAAGGTTGGACTGAGCAAGTATGACTGGCCCAAAGTAGGGAACATCTGTGGGTAAGTGGGGACTTGAACCTAAGGCATCCCGTGCCCAGTCCAACACCTTAGCCCTTATACCATATTGAGGCAATAGTTACCAATTTGGAGAGTTTTAAAAATTAGACAAATTCATGAAGAATAAGGCTACCAGTGGCTAACAGCAACTATCCTCACATACAATAAGCCTCTAAGTAACAGGAAACAAGAAACTGGAAGAGAACATGATGAGAAGCTACTATTGCACTGAGTCCTGCTTTAAGGCTACCCAGTTGCGGGAACACCTGCTAGAAGAGGCAGCTCTTTTGGCCTCATCCAGCATGGCTGCTCTGGCTGAGATCCAGAAGCCCATCCATATAACCTCACAGACACACCTGAATTTGCCCAAGTATTCTAAAGAGAGAAGAACCTCTCTCTCATTCTTCCCTTAGAAAGCCATTCAGTTCAAGACTAAGTATCTTATAGTACACCTGCAAAATGCCATTTATACTGACATTCAGTAGCTAACGAGTTCCTTTAACATGACTCCTTTACTTTTTAAATTGATGTTATCTACCCTACATAAAATAAATTTGTAATAAATTTAAGAAGTGCAAGGAAACTGAATGGGTATTTTTTTTCACTAGCTGCTTGAAATACACAATAGCACGTGTATTTTGAAAATGTAGTGGGGGATATAGCATGTGAAATGGAATTAAAATCCACTACAGAAGATAATAAATCAGATTGGATACACCAGCTTAATTTCTGAATTCTGCTCATCCCAGGATTCTTATTTACCATATTTTGTTCATGATTCAAGTTACATTATAAATCATATTAGTAAAATATTTAAATTAATAATTTTCATACTAGAAATACCTTTTTTCCTGATTCTCAGTTAGGTTTACCATTGGAAGAGAACACTTTAGCACAGAATGTATTGCACAATGCTTTTGATGACTTCTCCAATCCATGCTTTGAAACAGAGGCACATCTATAGAATCTAGTTCCACCTCATTACCACCATTCAGATCTGCTAGAAGAACTTCATATTGTGGTATTTTTTTGGTATTTAAATAATGAATAACCATCTTCAGCAATGAAAAGCCCCCCAAAAGATTACTGGAGAACAGATGATCTTGTTGTTCTGCAAGTATCAGTTTTAAGGTTTGCATTGTGAATTTCATTAAATGCCCCAAAGTTTGTCTGTGTTGATCCTCCCAACTTAGGACGGTCAAAAATTGTTGGAAACAGTTTAACACGCACTGTATCCATGATTGATTCTTGACAGGATGATCTAATTCTTTAAGTTTTGCATGCTGGAGAATGTTAAAAAAGTGTACAATGCAACGAATGTTGAAATTTAATAATATATCTTTTTCTTTTATACTTCTTGAAATGCCCACTCTCCAAGCAGCAATGAGATTTTTTTGAATATGGTTCAGTTCAAACAATAGGCCATCTTTTTTTCCATCTGTTCCATCTACTGCATGAATTGTGTCAAACATTGATGCGAATTCCAGCTGGCCTTCATCACGTAAAGAGAAGTCTGCTTTTTGGCTTCCCAAAATATAGGAATTACTTTGAAAAAAATTGTCATCACTGGATTCTTCATTGCACTCCTAAATTTAAAAAAATGTTATACATCTGAAATACGCTTATTTTATCACACATTTATAAGTAATAATTATAGATCAAAAGATGCATGAACACAATACATTTCTCTAAGTGCTGGTCTATAAACTATTCCAGGTGAGATACCTAAATCCTGCATGGGAAAGAAAAAGAAAATTATGTTTTATGCTGCAGAGAAATGGAGCAGAATCCATCTTTTAGAGATCTTTTCTATTGCAAAGCAAGTTGTAAGGATGGGAACAAGTAGTTTTCGAACATTACTTAAGCATCTAAAGCGAGACTCCATTCAGAGGGCTTTGTCTGTTAACAAGGGGGTGGGAAGCAGATTAGTGTGCTTGCGTTTTGTTTGTTGGATAATGTGGGTTTTGCTTGACCTTTTAAGCTATGACAGTTAATAGAAAACAAAACAGGTAACAATAGAAAAATAGGTAAAAATAAAGATGGCTGGGCAAATTTGCACAATTAGAAAAAGCAACTCTATTCATTTCACTTTTCTTGTACAATGGTGTTCCACTGAGAGGTAGAAACAGTTCTGAACAAAGGAAATTATAATCAAGATTTTCAGCAGTGTGAAAATTCAACAATGTAACATGAAGAGCAGATTTCTCGATGTAGGTTAAATGGTACATGAATGGTTCAAGAACTATTCAGCAAAAAGTAAATCAATACTTAACCAAGGTAAAATGTTCTAGTTTTTGTATGTGTTCATTCTAAGCTAAAACTAAGGATCCTGTGTCACATAAATGGTGTGTTCATTCTAAGCTAAAACTAAGGATGCTGTGTCACATAAATGGCCTTGTGAGTACCAGGAGATGGTGAAGAGTTTTGTTTTTTTTTTAAAGATTTTATTTATCCTTAACAACAGGAAATCTCAAACATAAAGTACTACATTACTATTCTCTGAACAAATAAAATGGCCTTTCTATATATTATTCTAATTCACATTATACAGTATTATTAAATCTTTTACTATTTATTCATTATGATTAAAAATCAGTAATATTAATCGTTCAATATTTTTAAAGCAATTGGAATACCTGGAAGAGTGATACTTCTTCATTTGGTTCAGTGGCTCCCTCCTCCTCTTGCAGAAACTTTGGAGTGCCAGAGAAAGTAGAACTTTGATTTTCATATTGTAAGAGATTAGCTCTTAAAGAAGACAATGACTGCAGTGGCTGCTTTTTCCCCTCAGACTATGGGAGACAATAGAGCTTTATTACTATTAACTTCACCTAATTTTCTCTCCTGAATTTCTGAATCCAGCAGAAACTGGTGGCATGGCAGATCACAAAATATATACATCAATAGATGAAAAGAGACATGGTTAATATTCACTTTTCCGGGTATCAGCAACATAAAACACGTACAGAATTAACCCTGGCAGCAATGGCAATATGGTCAGAAGAGTGAATAATCATAGAACTGCAAATGAAATTGAAAAGGCATTTTAAAGTATTATTTTAAAATATCTGGCTAAATAAAACAATTTTCACTATTGCTCTTAAAACAATAAAGGTAGGACCAAATGTACCCCTCCAGGAAACATATTTTGTAACTGCCGCGCTACTACCAAAATGGCACACTGGACATTTACCATGGAAATATTAATTCTGGTTTAGCTAACAAAGGCACCCAGTAGTAGCTTATCCATCCACAGGTGTCAGAAACATGGAATAGGTGCTATGAACGCTTCCGGAATAAAAATGGGTTCTGCACCCTTGAGATATTTGTTTAAAAAGTATCAAAGAAACCACAGTCAACTTTGTAACTCTTCACTTACCAGAGACACTGTTCTTGAGATAAAAAGGCAGATTCATGATTTTTACCCTGTTACAATTCTCTTCCTATCTGAAGGACCGTGCCACTTGGCATCTGGAAAATGCCTACTGAAATGTGGGTCACCAAGTGCAAGCACTTCATCTATTTCTATGCTAAATAAAACTTCAGTGTCAGGTCATATGAAATGAACTGCACGACTTTCATATGTTGCTGTAGAAGAAAAACAATTTGACTACATGATAGCAAGCATCAGGGAACTTTTCTTTCTGGAAATGAGTCTGAACCTTTAAGCAGGAAAATAAAGAGAAGATGTATAAAAGAGAGCAACAGGAGACTTTAAAAAGTATTAAGAAGAATTAGAAGTACAGAACCAGAAATCAAGGAAGAAAGTTTGATTCCAAGTAAAATGCAGAAGAAAATTGAGAATAACTTCAATGCAAATATCAGACAATTCCAATTTTTCCTGGACAAAAGGGAGTTAACCCATAATTAGATGCCTCCTCAAAGGAACACAAAAATTGTAACTAGCAACTGCTTTGTGGCCATTTTCAGAAAGGAATCTGTGGACCTTAATTGCAAACCAGTATTATAATAGAAAACCAAGAAAGCAACTATACCTTAAAAGTAATCAAACTGTGGTGTAACTTTTCTAGTCTTTGGGCCGAATCAAGCAGCATTGACTTTGCGTATGTAGAAGGTGAAAACCCACTGGAAAATTTAAGAACTGTAATCATGTATCCATCAGAAGCAATGAGATAAGGCAAACTTGAGTGAGATGTTACAGAAAATCTCTGCCTCATGAGGTCTCCTTCAGAAACTGATGAATCATGACAATTCAAGAAAGAGTTCTGTGACCTAGCAGATAGAACAATAAATCATCAACAAAATAAACATTCATGTACAATATAATAATGCAAAAATGTTTATCTCACTTAAAAGATTTCTCCATTCTCCCTTATTAGGCCCAATCCCCACCCTGTGTTAAGCTGCACCCATAGGAAATAAGAAGAATTAACCTGTCTTGTCAATTCCATTTTCATTTACTGAAAATAAAAGAATGTGAAAAAATGAAATATTTGAAATATGTATAACTTGCCTTTGGCAAAGAAGAGTGAGACCCCTCACGTCATTTCATCTGGACTATCATGCTTGCCAACTTTTATCTTTATCTTTTATGTTTTACTGATTTTATTGTAATTTTTTTGATTGTTGTGAGCCACCCAGAGTCATTGAGAGTTGGGTGGCATACAAGTTTAATAAATTATTATTATTAGAAAACATATGGAAGAAAAACATAAAGTTCAGATGATTTTTTAAAAACATCTGTTTTGTTATCTCACCTGTATGTTATTAATGGATGTAGAGGAATAAATTCTGCTGGTCCAAATTCTACAGAGCAGCCATAAGTAACTAAAGTCATCAATTCACCCAAGCATGTCATTATGATCAGAGATCCACGTTTTAACATGCAAACCAAAAACAGACTATCAGGAGTCCAGCTCATGTCAGCAATCCAATAAGACCTTAAATAATACAACAAATGACACCTTCAGGAACATGCATCTAAAATATCCACACTGGATTTCAAAATATCATCTGAAAAAAAAAAATGCCGATTTCATACTGACCTTATTAACTTTGATGGAATTTTGGGATGCTTGCTACCACAACCTTTAAGAGTCCCTGAAGCAGTAATAAAATTCTTAGTGCTCATAAACAAAACCTGAGTTGCCTGAGCATTAAAAAAAAAAAAAACAGAAAAAGGAAAGTATGTTTAAACTGAATAAAACACAGGAATAAAATGGAACAATTTATTAATGCTTCCCCATGTGTCTTTATTTTTTTTTAATTCACTCTATTTTTATAAATCATTTGCTAAACATAAATGCTGATTCTGGACAGGATACAAAATTACTCTGTTCCCTGATTAAATTGCAAGTCTCTTTGGTGAATATAATTTTAAACTTTAAGACTTAAAGGGTGACCTTCAAGACTGCATTGCCAGAAGGAAGTGTCCCCCCCAGCCCCCCCTGCAAAGTATGAGCAGATTCTTTTAATAGAATGAAGTGTAGCAAGTAGGACTGAAGACTGAGGAGATTCCTTAAAAATGGGCAGAGGCGAGGATGGTTTATACAGTTCTCAGCTATTTCCCTTTTTCTTCCATAGCCTTCCACACCAGGTTCTCTGATCATATATAAAGGTAAGAAACTGAGGGTTGCCAAGAACTGAAGAAGGAGGGGAATTAAATTCTAGGTACCTCCTTCTACCAGGGTAATAATGGATGTGCTCAAAGTAGTTTACAATGCCAAACTTAATAAAGTGCACATTATTAATAAAGTCACTTTCTTATTATGCTTTTAACACTGGTACCTGTAGATCCTTTTGATTGAGAGCTATTGCTAGCACAAGCCCATCATGTGAGAATGCAGTAAGTAAAGCACCTCTCGACTTCACTGATTCACAACAGGGAGCCAAACTAAGCAGAGAGCACGTTTGCTGTGCCCAGTGTATCTGACATGGAACAGAGCTACATGGAATGAAGAAAAAAGTGTATATTATAGAGAAAATCAAATCTGGAGCTCAATTTATCATGCCCATAATAAAAAAAAAAAGTATAGTCATATATTATAATCAAATTTATATGCTGCCCATCTCACTATATAAATGACCCCAGGTGGCTCACAAATAAAAACAATAAAAAACAATAAAATCTTACAAAAATATACAAAAGTAAAAGATTTTGAGGAGGGAGCATCCTCAAGCCACCAACTACCCTCAGTGCTGCGAACACCTATTGGATCCCCAAGCTAGTTGGCAGAGCCAGGTCTTAATGCTCTTCCAGAAGGCCAGAACACTGGGGGCCAATCTCACCTCAGGGTTTACTTTCAATTTAAAATTTAAATTTAAAATTTACTTCTCGGGAAGCATGCAGAGGAAGTTATTATTAGATACAGACTTTGAAAAATTGAACGAGCCTGCTTCACATTCTGTTTTTATTAGCTACAGCAGCATTTCTCAACATCGGCAATTTTGAAATGTGTGGACTTTTCGCAGCACTGAGGGTAGTTGGTGGCTTGAGGATGCTCCCTCCTCAAAATCTTCGCAGCACTGAGGGTAGTTGGTGGCTTGAGGATGCTCCCTCCTCAAAATCTTCGCAGCACTGAGGGTAGTTGGTGGCTTGAGGATGCTCCCTCCTCAAAATCTTCGCAGCACTGAGGGTAGTTGGTGGCTTGAGGATGCTCCCTCCTCAAAATCAAATTAAAAATTCAGTTAGTGCAGCTATGGAGGTGAAAAATAGTGAAAGAGATGCCATGTTAGTCCAAGGCTTCATTTAGGCTCATTCTATCCCATCTACTGCATATTATGATTTGCTGAGTTTTGTGGAAGTTTAGGATGGAAAGACAGGCTAGGAAGGTCTTTATATATTCCTAAAATGCACATTCAGAGTCCAAGAGGAAAATATAATATTGTTTTATATATATCTATCACTTAGTCCATACTATCCATGCATGTATATAAACAGAAGCATTTTCACTCATAAACCTATATGCAGCTTATTAAAATAAGATGCATTTTGCATTTACAATCAGAATATTTATGCTTACCTTCCGTTTTTTAAACTGTTCTCCTGCCATTTGATCTTCAAAAATATCAGCACCAGGTTGTCCTCAGAATAAAATGCAAAAGAACACAAGCAACAATCTCCCAATATCTGTCAATGAATCAAATGTTTTTGAATAACTCACTTGAATTACCTGTATACAAACTATGTTTTAAATCTATATAATATGAAAATTATTCACATTTTACCAAGTGTTCAGTAATTCATACATTGTACAAGATTTAAATAAATTAACCATTCACATGTTATCCTTGGAAATTTAAGCTGCAGTTACAATGAACTATTTTGTACATGCAATATTATGATTATAAAACATGGTAAGTTCCCATCTCTTTCACTATTTTTCACCTCCATAGCTGCACTAACTGAATTTTTAATTTCAAAGAATCTGAGTTTCACCTTCCATACACTGTAGCTCAGTGTTTCTCAACCTCAACAACTTTAAGATGTGTGGACTACAACTCCCAGAATTCTGGGAGTTGAAGTCCACACATTTCAAAATTGCCGATGTTGAGAAATGCTGCTGTAGCTAATAAAAACAGAATGTGAAGCAGGCTCGTTCAATTTTTACAGACCTACTGTATTGTCTGGAAAAAGTCATGCACAAAGCAGGACAGAAAATGCAATACATATTGCCAATGCAGGCAAACATGCCAGGGCAAACAGGTAAGATCAAGATGTTGGGCATTAATTATGCCCCAAGGAGGATCTACAACAAAATGTTGCAAGACAGAGGGCTCCCTGTTCATGATCCCAGCCACTCAGTTTCACCCCTTCCCAAACAATGTCAGAATTCAGTTTACCGTATATACTCCATGGACAAGCCAACCCTTGAGTTTTTAATCAAAATATCATGAAAAACATGCCACCTGTGGATACGTAGGCCCACTTTTCATTGTATTTTGGTTAAAAAGTCAAGGGTCAGCTTATCCGTGGATGGGCTTATATGGGAAATACCAGTACTTTAAAAAAACATTTAAGGCGTGTGGACCTCAACTCCCAGAATTCCCCAACCTCTGGAAGTTGAAGTCCACACGCCTTAAAGTTGCTGAGATTGAGAAACACGGCCATATACACTCATGGATAAGCCCATCCTGGATAAGCCGAACACAATTTTGGGGTGCCTTTTGGTAACTAAAATTCTCAGCTTATCTGGAAGTATATATGGTACCCTGAAAATATCCAACCTGTCAGGTTTCCCTCTCACTTAGGATTCTTCTTCTAAATATTTCTTTGTATTTTCCCAAATCTTGGCATCTCCACAAGTCAGTTGATGCTGCATTCTTGCACACGGAGGAAGCCTTTTTAGGCAGCATAATTCACAGTCTGATTATAAGAAATACAAGCAATAATCACACTGTGTAACAGAAGCCTCAATATTAAACAATTATTCACTTAAGGTAAATACATGGTAGCTTTCAACAATAACCAGAATTACATGGCTGTTATCAGAAAAGTCACTATACATTTTATAAAAACTTGGAATGTCAGTGAATAAGATGAGATGTATTTTATATTTTACCTCATTTTCAATAAAATCAGCACTAACTGCAGTTTCCTTCTCTTTGATGGATGGTAACACAATTGAAGCTTGAGGAATAATTTGTGACCACTGCCCCACTGCAGAAATTTGGGAAGGTGTAGTTTTTGCTTCTATGCTTTCCCACAGCAAGACACAGACATCTGGAGTAGCAAGAAGCACTTTATCTCCTTTGCCGGAAACATGTATGGATAATCTCAAGGAACGTTCTAGAAAGTAATATTGTGTTAGAACTGTTCAGTTCTTCTAAATCTACTCAAAATATTTAGTTCATTTATGACAACAAGAAGCATGCTATCACAAGCAAATATATTTTATTGTATGAAATGAGATAGTGGAATACAGAATTTAAACTAGGGGTATACAGTGGGGCAAAAAAGTATTTAATCAGCCACCAATTGTGCAAGTTCTCCCACTTAAG